ATTATTTGATTTGAAGAGCATTGAGTAGCGTGATTTCCTTGCCTTGTAGGTCCACGGCACAGCTCCGGATATTGCCGGGAAGGACTTGGCGAATCCGACGGCGCTCCTCTTGAGTGCGGTGATGATGCTGCGTCACATGGGGTTGCAGGAATACGCCACCAAAATAGAAGACGCCTGCTTCGACACCATTAAAGATGGGAAGGTACATTTTGGCCAGGAATTGCTTGACTTTGGTGATGTGACGATATTGTTTACCTGTGCTCCATAGCTTCCTGCTTGGGCCAACTTCAGCCCTCCCTCCAGGTGTTTTGGACTTCAGTTCCCACAATTCCAGCCAGCCAGTAGGTTGTATATCTGCATTTCCCACCCTCGGCTTATACTGGACTCAATAAGTTTTCTAGTTTTTTGTAGTAAAACTAGCGGTCCCTTGCCACGCGTTGCTGTGGCCCAGTCTGTTGATCTGGAAAATCAAGTAATGAGAAAGTGTTGGTTTCTAATATATGAAATGTCTTTATACTTGTGGGTAAACAGTATTTCTTGCTGTTTCTTTGCCAGTGTTGATGTGGAGATTGTCTGGTTTGCCTGCTCTGCAACATTCAACATATAATTGTCCTTTTTTAGGGGTCCCTCTAAATCTTTGATACTTTTTGCTTGATGTCCAGGCAGTGCTTCTTGTAGGTCAGAGCACGGTCCAGAGTGACCCCCAGGTATTTGGGGGTGCTGCAATGCTCCAGTGGGATTCCTTCCTTCCCAGGTGATCCTCAGAGCTCGGGATGCTTGTCTGTTCTTGAGATGAAAAGCACATGTCTGTGTTTTAGATGGATTGGGGATCAGCTGGTTTTCCCTGTAATAGGCAGTAAGAGCACCTAGAGCAGTGTTTCTCAACCTGGGGGTCGGGACCCCTGAGGGGGTCACGAAGGGGTGTCAGAGGGGTCAACAAACACCATCAGAAAACACAGTATTTTCTGTTGCTCTTTCTGGGAAGTTTGGCCCAATTCTATCATAGGTGGGGTTCAGAACGCTCCTTGATTGTAGGTGAACTATAAATCCCAGTATCTACAACTCCCAAATGTCAACGTCTATTTTCCCCAAACCCCATCAGTGTTCACATTTGGGCATATTGAGTATCCATGCCAAGTTTGGTCCAGATCCATCATTGTTTGAGCCCACAGTGCTCTCTGGATGTAGGCGAACTACAACTCCCAAACTCAAGGTCAATACCCACCAAACCCTTCCAGTATTTTCTGTTGGTCATGGGAGTTCTCTGTGCTAACTTTGGTTCAATTCCATTGTTGGTAGGGTTCGGAATGCTCTTGGTTTATATGTTAACTATAAATCCCAGCAACTACAACTCCCAAATGACAGAAGCAATTTCCCCGCCAACCCCACCAGTA